GGCTGTGCTGAGTCCATTTGTGAAGATATTCAATAACTTCACTGGAGAAAGTCCTGAGGAACCTATTCTAATTCATGCTGCTTTCAGCACCTCTGCTTCAAATCAGAGTCCTCTTTGAAGCTCTGCATGCTACTAAGTTATTGCTTTTAAAATGAAGTTTGTTTAAAAGGCAGATGACTTTAAAGAAGAAACTGTGAAAAAACACTTAATTTATATGAAACAATTTTTACCTAGTTAAATAGAGAAAAGACATTACGTGCCCAAAAAGCACACAGAAAGAAAAAAAAAATCTTTGCATTTCTATCTTCCTCTTGGTGGTGGCTGTGTGTGACTCAACTTTTCACCTGGCAAAGTCTAAAACCTGTGTAAAGTTTAAGTGGATGATTTAGTCTGAATATTTTTTCTATTTTTCCTAATTAGTCATTATGACTTGGTTTAAGCCACTATATAAAAATGACGAGCATCTGCATTGTTCCTAACTTCCTTCTGCATGCTCAGTTTCTCTGACGTGCATTACATGCATACTACATGTACACAGACTCAATTTTGGCATTCGATTTCTGAAAAAATGACTTCTTTCTGTGGCTCATAGAAGTACTTGTAAAGTTTCACCTGGTAAGTCACAGAAGTTCCTTTTCCCACTCTTGACAAGTACTCTCTTTTTACATACATTCTATAACAAGAGGTAACATAAGAAAGTGAGACACCAAACTATGTTTAAAAATTTGTGTGAGCAACTGTGTATGTGAGCAAGTCCATCAAGAGGAGTGTGGCCAGCAGGTCAAGAGAGGTGATTCTTCCCTTTATTCTGCTCTTGTGAACCCCACCTCGAATACTGCATCCAGTTCTGGTGTCCCCACCATAAGAGGGACATAGATCTGTTGGAGCGTGTTCAGAGGAGGCCACAAAGATGATCCAGGGGCTGGAGAACCTCTGGACAGGCTGAGCGAGCTGAGATTGTTCAGCCTCGAGAAAATTCACAGGGGACCTTAAAACTGCCTTCCAATACCTGAAAGGAACCTACAGAAAGGCAGGAGAGGGACTTTTCACAGGAGTGTCCAGCAATAGGATAAGGGGAAAGGATTTTAAGCTGAAGGATAATAGGTTTAGACTACCTAAGAAGTGATTGACAAATAGAATAAACATTTTTATTATAGCATAGTTCCTAGATATCAGAAGACCTTATTAAAGATGTAACTATTATTTCTATTTTTATAACAGGACACCTATGTAAACTAAAATTGTCTGTCCTGCAATTAATGTATTACGAAATATAGCTTCCGTTTTTGGGAACAGGTGATCAGTGGGCCATTGTTATCTTCAAAGATCTATTTCCTATTTCCTCCAGGTAACATGCAGGCAGTGCTCTCTGAGTCTAACAGACTTTTATAGGACTGATATCAGACAAGAATCACAGCTCTAAGAAATCCTGTATTTTAAAAGTCCTAAAGAAACCACCACACTAGGTTTTATGGCTTACCTACAAGACACGTCTTGCATCCACTGATTTATAAATTACAAAGCAAAAAAGGACAGTTGACTTTGTAAGAGTTTGAATAGAGTAAGCAGTCATTAAAATCTGCAGATATTTGAGGGGAAAAAAACATGTCAGGAATTAAAAATAACAGGAAAGATTAACTGTTATTAGGAAGCCAAAACAAACTGTAACTGCAGCATTCTAAGTTACTTACCAGTAAAGATACGGTTTATCCTTATCTACATTGATATTGTTTAGTGGATCCATACGAAACCAGGTGTTAAGAGTAAACCCATTTTGATAAGGCCACTTAGCAATAGGAGGCAATGCAATTGCCTGGAAAGGAAGAAAAACAGGAAAAAAAAAAGGAAACAGCAAGTCAAAAAATGAATTTTTTGAGAAGTGTTGTTTAAGGTAAAGTCCTTCTAAAATTTTGTCATTCTGTATCTCAAGATAGGCTTTAACTTTCAAATATTAAATAAGAATATTAAAAAGCTCTTCAAATAATGTTTCTGAATAAATGTATCATTTTTCCACCTATTTTAAAATATTTAAATTTTTAACTACATAAATTCTACCAATGGAGGACATGAAATTAAATTTTTTAATGGGCACCATAAGAGAAGAAAAATAGAAAAAATACTTCTTCAGAAATTAAACTATTAATTCAGTTTTCAGTAAGCATTCATATCATCAATAGACTTAAACATTAAGATCAAATTAATCTCAACTGACAGTACAATAGAGATTCACTGTTAAAACTACAGTGTAAAAAGTGTTGTTCTCTCAGATTTAAGATAACTATCAGGGGTTTTTTTCCTATGAACACTAAGCTAAGAGATTGAATATTTTAATTCCGTTCTCAGTTAAATAATTAATGGTAAGGCATGGTTTGGGAAGAAGTTGGATTTTTCAATATTTTATTTTTATAGGCTGACTGATGAAGAATTTTCAGAGAACTCTCTATCCCTGGACAAGGCTTTAAATAGCTGACCTAACTTTGAAGTTAGGCACTCTTCAGGGAGGAAATCAGATGAGATGAACTTCAGAGGTCACTTGCAAAAGTATTTTCTCTGATACTACTATAAAATATAATATTTTTTGCCTTCATTATGAGAATTACATACAGCACTTTAAAAAATTAAGAAATCACGTTGGTAATAACTTAGAGATTACTGTAGTAGGCACTAATTAAAATAAATTCTTTCTCCCTCCATCAGACAAAACACATAATATTTTACATAGAAGCAGTTACAGAATAATATCCTTTAATACTACTTCTTGAAATAGGCTGTATATGAATGCAAAGCAGAAGAAAATAATTTTATAAATAAAACTAGCGTATTATTTCTGTTTGTTTAACTGGTGTTTTTCCATTTCAGTAGGATAATTTAAACTCTTAGTTAATTAATCCTTGCACTGATGATATTGCCTTCTTATCAAAGCTATCAGTGATACTAACTGAGCACTGGCACATGTTTCCCAGGGAGGCTGGGAAGTCCCCAGCCTTGAAGATGTTCAAAAGCTGTCTGGACACAGTGGACTGGTGGCTCCATTTCAGCCTAGGGGGCCTGGCTGGGATGACCTCCACAGATCCCTTCCAACCTCAACCCTTCTGTGATTCTGTGTGATACTTATGAATCACAGTTGGAAATACTTTTTCAAGAGTGCTCATATCTCGTACTGTCAACGATTCATACGAAAGACTACAAAGAGTTCTGGCAAATATTCATTTCTTAAAATGAGAATGGACATCAGTCTGTGGGCAATAGTGTCAGAATGACCACTCTAGGATCCTATGCCAATGTAGTAAAGTCTGTAATGGTACAGAGTGGGACTGACTTTTCAGTATTTTTATATGCAAGGCAATTAAGAGCAAATAAACAGGTAATTAAGGATGATAGGGAACTCAGAGTAAATTTTATAATTTGATACAGCAATGTGCTCAAACTATGCTAGCACATGACTAGACAAAAGAATTAACACCAATTCTGCTGCCAGCCTGGTAGTAACTACTCAATACAAGACATTTCAATGAACTCCTTTGGGATATCACTCTGGCCTCCTGAGAGGGAGTTCCGTGCCTGAAATAGGAAGAGGGCTGCTGGATGACAAAGAGGAACAACATCTGGGAATAGTACCACCACATGCTGTCCTCCACCCTACTGAGCAACTACTGTGCTGCTCAGTACTGGCAGAGATGTCTCACAGTACTGGGAAGAGCCCTTCAGCGGGGAATACTGAAGCAGCTCCCACCAGCAGATCAGTAGCCTGGCTCAGTAGATCCTTGGCTTTCTCATACCATCACTGAAGTCCTGGTTATACAGGGAGTAGGCACCCAACTTGAAAGAGAGCCAATCTGATATTCATCATGCCAAGCAAGCACTATGCTGTTTCTCTGCCTGATGTCATCACTGCACATCATACTTGAAAAACTGAACTTGGTACCAGTAAATTGTTCTCTCCTCTTTGTTGTTTGGGTCAATTTATAAGTAATTGCCCTTGGTCCACTTTTATAAGTAAATCTAACATGCACTACTCAAGAAACCTAAATCTGAAACTCGTATTTTCTGATTTGCAGGTGTGCAGTCAATAATAAGTGCTATGTGAAATAAGATCCTAAACAAGTAAAGAGAAATTCCTACAGTGCATTTCAACCAAGGAACTAGACAGTCAGAGGGACGGGGTGCTGGACATCTTACCTAGACCACGCTTTTCCCAAGAAAATTTGGACCAGATGATCCCTCAGGTTTCTTCCAACCTGGTATTCTATGATTCTCTACTCCTGTAATTGATGCATGCCTTTGGACAGGGAAGAATATTTTAAATTCTTCCACTGTAAAACTTTTTTTGAAGCTCTGATACAAAATTACATTTTAGAGACATTTCATCATATTTTGCCGCTGAAACCCAGACATGTCAAAGCAATATGTGTCATTGTAAACATTCACATTCTGCAACAGCTGTCTTGCTGCTGCATGTACTTTAAGGTAAGGTTAAAACTGTTTTTAATTTAGCAATAGCAAAAGAAACTCTCCCTTCCAAAACTCAGTAATTCTTTGCACAATCCACCCTGTGCATTTTGCTGACATGTTTGTATGGCTGAATATCAAACAAGATCAAGGAAGTGATCTAGCAAAAAAGAACCCAGGTGAAAAACAGTGATTTTCAGCCAGTTTATTTCCCTGATGCAATCTGCCACACCAACAGCTGTATTTGCAAAGAACAGGAGGTGGTGGTTTATGCTTGAAGAAAACCATCAGTCCTGTTGAGGAAATACATGTAGAAGAGCCCAAGAGAAGCTCCTACCACCCTTTGTACACTGGCATTAAAACACGGGGCTCTTAGGATAATTTCCCCTTAAAAGACTCCAAGTTCTACCATGAGCCTATAGTATTTCATTCTAATAACTTCCCCAGACAAAAATCTGTTACTTGACATTCTGTTACTTGACATTCCATCCTCATAAGTGCAACTTCTCAATGATAAACTACTTTGCAAACCTATGGAAAGCAAGGTATACACTACTCAAAGCATGTATTTCCAATCTTTTTTTCCTTTTCAAGAATTTCCAAAACCAAATCAAACGATATGCAAATGAGGAGCAATTTATAGAATCACAGAACAGTTTCGGTTGGAAGAGACCTTCAAGATCATTGACTCCAACCTTTGAATTTGTTCCTCAAGTTGTAGTATTTTGATTGAGAACTTACTGCAGCACTACAGCCTGGGAAGTTGAAAAAGGTATCAGGCCCATGTCTCTGTGGCATCTGATTAAGGACTGATAATAGTTTAACTGCATGTCTTGGCTGCAAAAAACAAGAAAATTGCACAAAAGTCAATACAACCATTTTTGTACTCTCTGCACTACAACGGAAACTAGACGGTTTTCAAACAACACAGTAAATTAAAGTAGTTAGCAAAAATATGTCCTAAACATATGTTCTACCAACATGAAAAAAATAAATAAATTCAAGTTTATATGTCCCAGGAGACAATTTATGTTAACATCAGGCTCTAACGGAATGACATTTAATGCTTTATCTTATCACAGCTTACCCAGATTCCATTTTCGCCTCGAAGCATGCTGAACAAAAGCTTCAACTCTTTGACAGTGATGCTGTAGCTGGCAAGAACCCCCAACATATCAACTAGAAGATCTTCAAAGGAAAATAAAGTTATTCTGAACTCTGAATTTCATTGTTTTGACAAAAAAAAAAGCTGAGAAAGTTAATATCTTTAAGTGTATTCATTGTTTCTAAAAATCAAACTTACTTCCCTTCAGTACTTTACAAAGGTTTTCATATTATTATTGTTTTAATTACTTTTAAAATAAACTTACATATGCAGTTTTAGATTTTGCATCACACTATGAACAAAATATCTATTAAATTTATGAGGAATTATTTTTTCCCATTTCACAACATTCATCATACAATATAAACTTTTTGTTTGCTCCTTTCTGTTACGTACTTTTGGGATAAGGGTTTCTTCATCGCTCTGAAGTTAGTATTTTTCAAAAAATTCTGACCTAAAGGATGCTTGGCATTATTCTTTAGCTCAAGCACAGCACATTATACTGAGAATTTGTATCGTTCTCCCAGATTTTCTACACTGGTAATGCTTCCATTTTTTACCAGAATGAAAGGTCACAGAAAATAAATAAATAAAAAACTTCAGTTTAAAGTCCCTAAAAAACTCTTATTGAGAAAACAACAAATGGTGACAATAAAAAGAAGTGATTAAAATTGCTAATGAATTTATGTAGTATGGCTTTCATTAAAACATCTCAAACCCCATAAACTTTTAAAGTAATAACACTACATAGCACGTGTTTCAGAGAATGTCATATTTGAAATTACTGCTAGTGCTTGGATCTTTATTTTAAAACACAAAATTTCATTTAAAGAATTTGTTAGCTTGTGGGACGCTGGATGTCTTCTTATACTCCACACTTCTGGAATAAAATGCACTACTAAGAATTATTGCTTCCTCTAGCAGGAGGAAAACCAATTTGCTTATCTTCACAAATGTGACACAAGAAATTGGATTCAGAGATCAAGCAGTGAAGTACAAAGTTTCTAAACAAAAAAAAAAGGTATGACACAGTAGAATCAGTATTAATAAACTCTATCAATCTGCTCAAAAGTCAGAAAATTCCCTCCATAAAATTGCATAAGACATGAGTAAGCTTTTAACTTGTTTACAAGACTCCATGCTCTCCTTGTTCATTAGTGGAAGGACAACTCTTATAGGTGCTGACAAAGCATAGTCTTAATAAGCATCCATCCTTTTCAAGGGCATTTTGCATTGATACTTTGTTTTAAAAAAATGTTTTCTCTCTGCACATCTGTTTTTGAGTAAAACCAACAGTATCTATTTAATTTGTTCCACTGTGAAATCCATCTTTGGGCCTTCAGTAAGCAAAAGGCATGTGCTAAGAATGAAATATCATTCAATTTACAGGAGGCATCATAAGCTTTTCAGTGTGTGAAACTATATGTCAGGAAAGGCAAAGAAAAACACTGTAACTTGCAGACATTTTCACCATAAAATCTGAATATATTCCCTATATTCAAGTACAGACATTTTTTCCCTTTCTTTAAAGGAACAGTTTATTTCACTTCCCTTTAAAATTAGTCCCACATGGTACCTGTGACAGAATTTCTTAAGGAAAAGCAAAATAAAGCTATCAAAACTGAAACCCCTTGTATTTTACAATGATGAATTCTATGACTTAGCTCCTCCTCTAGTGCCTACAAGCATCTGCCCCCTTCCCTGTACAGCCTCCAGCCTGCAATGTGAAGCTGGCAGAGATTGCACATGATCGGAAATTGAGAATGGTAACACAATGAAAACTTAAAAAGGGAAATCAGCACAAATTGAGTACTAGTTGTGGGCTGAGAATTTCTCAACTCTTATCTTGTAGTTTTACCTTGCTTTCTACATAAAGCTACTTCAAATTTTGCTTCCTTTACAGAGAAAAAGCGCTGCGTAGAAGCAAAGCTGTTTGGTGAGAATCAGAAACTTGTTTAAAAAATGTATCTTCTAACATGGATGACAAAAGTGTAAATTAATACAGTCAAACACCAAAATGATTGGCAGGTTTTTTAAAATTACTGAGCATGTGCTGCTTTGTTTCATTGTTATAGCCCTGTACTACCTTATGGCACAGAAAATTTCATATTCCTACTGAAGGTGTTGATAACCCACAGGCATTAGATATACATATTTATAAACAATGAATAAAACATTGATGGCGAGAAATACATGTAAGCTCCATAACAACATAACTCTGGTTAAAAGAAAGACCTGGAAGATCGAAGCCCAGTAGGTAACGAGTAAAGGTAAAACAAAGAATATCCACAGAAGTTGAAGAGCATAATGCTACTTAAAAGTATTGCTGTAAAAACCTCTAAGAAAGGTTTGTTTCTTGTTTCCATATAACAAGACTTTAAAAGAATAGTACTCTGTCACATAACTTTATTCATACATATTAGAAATCTCATATAAAAGAGTCAGTCTAGTTTATAAATCCTAATAATCCACTCATCTATAAATAGATAAAGGCCACAAAACATACTACAATTTGATTTTTAAATATTTACTTCATTTTTCTATATTAAATAAGATCAAATATATAACTGGTATATATGATATCATTTCAGAAACAAGATTGTGTAAAAGAATATTAAGTCCAGAAGGAGAAAACAGGCACCGTTTTTCATTCTAAATGCATTTCTAAAGTGCACTGAATGCAACAGATTTTATTTCTGTTAATGGCACCTTCTGACTATTATCATACTAAGCAGTTTATATATGGCCTACAAATTAACCAGAAACCTTGAAGGAATGCTTAATTCAGTCATTTAATACAAAAATAGCATTGTAAAAGAGCCTGCCTGTCTTTCAAGTACAAATGAACATATATCAAAACAAATGGTATGGCATTAACTTCAGAAGACATATTAAACAGCACTGGAAATGCAACCTAAGGAAAACTACACTCATGCCTTCTTAATCTTTTCATAACAAACAGCCATGGAATTGTGAATTTTAACTCCATTGGTGAAGTAAATTAATTTCTACAGGTTGGCAATACAGAATGTGATAATTTTGCTTTTTTTCTTCTATGGAACCAATTGAAATGCTTGTTAAGAGTCCAGACACACTGGTCAAAACCTAACATTTTTGCTTAAAAACTAGGAACTGTTTCAGTGCTTAGGAATTCAGTTCCAGCAATTTTAGAACAATTACCTACAGCATCACAACAGAGATTTGGGAAATAAAACGAGGCTCAAGGGAGACATATTCGCTCTGTATGAGTTCAGGCTACTTTCTCATCCACTGCTCTGCAGGTACTATAGGCACACTATCCCAAAGAGTCTCTCAGAGCAGATGATCTGCTTCACTGCTTATCACCTGGAAACAGAGAACTGCAAAAAACTAATCTCCCTCAAGGAAGAGCCTGTGCAGCTGTTAGGAAAAAAGAAAAGTGCTAATTACTTATGCCAGTATTTTAGTAATTTTTTCCCCTTAACCACTCATATAATGGCTGACCATCCCCTGTCTTAGTATAACAGATGATCACAACAAAAAGATGACTTCTGACAGGTGATGCTTCTGGTAAGAAAATTGGAATACAAGCAGCAATGATTTCACATGGACTGTAACTGAGACTTTCAAAGATGATTAAGCTTTTATTCTTGACCCACAGAATCTGCAAAATCTCAAGAAGTGAAATATCTGAAGTGCTGAGAAGCCTCATGAATCTGAGAGTCTTCATTTAAACAAAGACAAGCCCTTCTCACTGCAAAAGATTGGGTACAGGTTTACTTGCTGTTGTCTTACTTTGACAAAAACAGAGAAGAGCAGCTTCAGACTGAGACTGGTCCTGAAAGCATGCTGTCAGAACATACAACAGATTATGCCTGTCTTCTCTATTTAACACTTATCTAGGTCTGATCACAGTGTTTCACAAAGGAACAAGTAAGATGATGTAAAATCAAACAATTACCCCCACACCCCAAACAAATAAAATCCCAGAAAACCTGTACCCTTTACAGATGCTAAAAGCCAGCCGCAAAACATTCGCAGAAGTATTTGGGGCAAAGTAGTTCCACAGTCTGACCTCAAAATCGGCACAGCAGATTAGGGAACACAGATACTGTCTTAGTTGTTAGCGATGTTGTCACCCAGCACCTACCATTAAACTAGTTTTCACATGACCATATTTATTACTTCTGACTTATTACCAACATTGTTGTCATTTATAAAAGGGTTGTGAGGTGCTTGCAGAAATCAAGAGCTAAAAGCAAAATGACAAAATTGGCTGCTTCCAGGTCTTTTTCAGAAAAATTCTTAACCTCTCCCCCACATTCTGATCTACTCACAGTTATCACAGGAAGACCCTCCAAAACGTGATTCTGTTAAATCCCTGCTCATAATATATAGAGGACTATTCAGAAAATTTGACACACATTGCAGAGCTAAAATGTTATCAGAATTCCAATTTCCAGTTTTGGTTTTAAGTTAAATATTTGCTGCCTTTGTCGATGTAAGTATACTGAAGAGCAAGCTTACCAACATTTTTTTCTGTGGAAGGTTTCTTTCTGAAGTACGGTGTGACCACTCTCAGAAAAAAGATTAATGAGGTAGAGGGTCCATTATTTTTTTTATTAATGTACCACCCCTTACTTATATTAATAGGTGTACATTCAGCATGATTTTTCAATTACCAAATACTACTGGAAGCCAGATATATACTCTTGATTTCTGACTTCTATGATTAGCCAAGCATTTTTTAAAATTTCTCTCTAATGGAGACATCATTACAGTTATATATGTCACATAGAGAAGTATTACTTAGGGGAGCTCAAAATGGACACATTTTTTTTGTATGATTACTGATGTAAGCATAGAATTTCCATGAGTGAAACCCTGAAAAACTTCAAGACATGTTTGTTTTAATCAACTAATGGCTTGTATTTAACACCCTTGTATCTTCACCCTGACAATATTCTGACATATCTGCAAGTCCTGTAAAACAAAATATGCTTGGTCAAAACCATTGGTTGTGAATCTATTGACCTGCT